AGACCCCCGAGCCGCTCTCGGGAGACCCGCCGGGAGAGGCTGGCTTTAAAGCCGGGCGGCAAAAATCGACGGCAGACGACTCCGCGCATCTCTGCCTGGCCTTCTGAGCTCCGTTCATTTTAACCAGGGGGGAGAGTCGCGCTCGGCGTGATCCCCGGGGGGGGCGGCGTTATTTAAGGATTTATTCTCCTGTGCGGGCGAAGTAGGGGAAGCCTGTCCTAGGAACAATGTTGTACTGATTTGGCAGTCATAGAAGTCGGGCGGTGGAGCGATTGGACCTGGAAGATCCAGGGTTTAAGGCTGCAGTTGATCATGGAACTCCCTCGGTGACTTTGGGCCAGCTGCCTTTCCTCGCTCTCTCCCCTTCCTCTCTCTGCACAACCTACCTCACAGGGCTGTTGTTGAGGAGAGGGACTCAGGTGCACTTTCTGGAGTTCCCCAGGGAAAGGTGGAATATAAATGCTTTAAAAGAATGAATGTAAGGGTAGAGTATAAATGCTTTACATAAACGAATCAGTCAGCCTTAGTGCATTTATTTTGACATTAAAGTTTTGTGGGAATAGAAGCTAGTAAAAATGATAAATCAGTAGAAGTCAAAGGACAACGAAATGTACAGTGCAGGCTGTAATGATGCAATTAAAATCTGTGTACAAAATAAACACAGGGACACTTGAAACCACCATCTGGTTGGCCACTGTGGGACATTTTGGTCTGTTGTTTAATCCCAGCACCACTGTTGTTACATTCTTATGTTCTCTACTGATGATCCAGAGTTTACCAGTAGAAGACATGATGCGAATGCAGAACAGCAGGACAGAATGTTGAATAATCTTTCTGAGCAATGAGGCCCTTAGAACAGGACTTTGGGGCAGAGTGCACAATACTTCTTATTGTCACCTTTAAAAGGCCTTTCTTGTAAAACCGTTACATCCAAGCTAAAAAGATTTAATGGCTTTTAGGTAACTTATTGTAGCGTAGTAAAAATGGACATAGTAGTCTTTCAAACTTAATTCGTTCCAGAGAAAAGAGAAGCACTAATTAGAATGAAGACCACGGGTGGACCTTTTTATAAAACGTTTATTCTTATAGTTATGACTCTTGATAGCTCATTTTCTCTGTGGATGATAACATGATTAAAACTTCCAAAGTTTTACAAGCATTTTTTCAAAGGGCAAAGCAATAAGATGTGCTTCACAAAAAGCCCACTGATCCTGTGGCTCTCGCGCTCCCCACCCCCTATTCATGTTCAGAAATGGCAGGTGTAAGCTAAGCTTTATATCACGAGGAATGCGCCCCTTTGTCCAGCATGGTGCTTTATGCTCGTGAATCACATTTCCCCCAACCTCCCCAGGAGTTTATAAATAGGCCGGCCAGCTGCCAGGGAGCCATGAACTCAGCGAGCCTGCTGTAAACATTATCCAGGAAGGCAGAGGAAACAAATGGAATTCAAAATCCTCTCTGACCCTGCCAGCTGATGCCAATGGCATGCGTGGGAAAACAGTTCTTCCCCTAGTTATCCTAACCGAACAACTTGTTGGCCAAAAAGGTGCCTGGACCGATTGTTCCAGTAAAAGCAGGAACAGCAAAAATTCAACAGTTTGCATTTTTGTCGACCCGTACAAGAAGGGGCATCAGCAAGTTGGAGAGAGAAGTTTTGCAGAACTGCAAAGAAATCTGGTGAAATGGGGCATGTTCAATTCATGGATTTTTTTTCCCCCTGTCCCCCATTCTATTGCATTCTGCAGCCTGGCTTGTAACTCATCATGGCAGCATTGCAATTGATTTGACCTCCAAACATATGTTCTAGAGCACTTTTGCTCATTGTTCATGTGCCAGTCTAAATTGGGCAAGTTGATTTCTGGGCTGAACTAGATCTGAGGGTGTTAGAACATGGTTGGGAACAAATTGCAGCTACTGTTCTTCGATGCTGGGTCACATTTATGCTGTTTTATTAAGCAAGTATCAGCTGAAGCTTTTACTCAGTTCTGCAGGCAGATCAACCCCCACTCAGCACATCTTTGAGTTCACAATCTGTGAAAAATACCATCAGCTGCCACTTCCCTTCCTCCATCCCTCACTGAAGCTATTTTCTTGACAACTGCATCAGGGAAAGAAAAAGAGCGACTACATCTATCCCCTGGAGATGAGTAACCTTCAGGAATCTCATCTGGTAGGCAGGCCTAAAGTTGCTGCATTGATCTTGTGAGTTAGGACGGAGATAAAGGTAAGATGGAAATCCAGCCAGGGCTGGATTCCCTTTGTGTGGGATAATCACCGATAGGGACTCGCAAATGCAGCTGCTTTGTTAGAGAAAAGTGCTGTGAGAAATTGCAGCGGCGGCAGCTCTTTTGAGATGCTTCAAGGCCCGTCAAGGCCTGGCTCTGATCCTCATGAAGAGGGGAGTCATGGGGGAAGGTTAAACCAGCTGCTTAAACCACTGCAGAGTGACTTCAAGACTAAGTATTCTGCAGCACAAGCAGGTTGAGGATGAAATGGGAGAAGAAAATACTGCTGCCAAACGAGCGAGTCAGATGTCAGTGAGACATCCAAGACTTTCAGTCTGAAGGCAACGGACAAAAAGTAGGTAGAGGGAGCGAGACACAGCCAGCAAAGAACCAGCTCCTGCCCAATTCCTGTGTCTCCTTGTTCGGCTTTCTCTGAAACATGGTCAAAGTCCTTGCATTTTTCAGAACAGCAGCACTTTGAGCAATGGCCACCGCTAATCCCATGCTGGATATGTTCTTCCTCATCCTACAGCAAGTAACAACCAACGCACCCAGATGTTATAAACTCCTGTTTTGTTTCTTCCCTTGTCAGGGCCCATAAACATAATATGGGGGTTTATCTCTGTCCTTAGTCTGTTTAGAATTATGGTTGAACCAGGTTCATTAGTTTACTCTCCTAAGGCAGAATCTCAATGCACGGCTTGTTTGTACTCCCAATTTTGGCTTGCTTACAGAAACAGCAAGGGATCCCAGTTTAAAGCTTAGACAAGCCAAGAACAGGGGTCCTTCTGGTTTGTTTAATCACTTCTATTAAAAGGAGGAGCTATATGGGTGCAAATAGTCAATTTTGGTAAGGTTTAGAGACCCATGACAATTACCCCAAAGAAACATATTTTTGTAGTCCTGATTTTTACAAGGTACAGTATAAAATGTTATGAAAATGTATCAAAACGGTTTGATTGGTGGAGACCCCAGAGAGAGACCATGCACAGAAGGAACCCAACCATGTGATATGAGATAGTAACACCATCTACAGATGTTGGAGGTGGGAAGAAGCAGAGGACAGGAAAAGCTATTATTTGTGCACCACTGTTGGATGCTGGCAACAAATAGAACAAGCAGTTTTATCCTATGCAGATTCCTCACTTTTCCTTTTCAGTTTGAAAACTGAAGCTCTTTCTGAAAATCAAAATTAACTCAGCTATGACCATCGAGATCTCCAGGTACAGAATGCCCTGGAAGGAAAATCTTCTAGCATGATCTCATTCAGCTGAGATTTTCGAAGATTAATTAATTAAATTTGGTTATAAAGTACCAGTTAGAATCACTGAGTCTTCTGCATTGTTGTAATACTTTTTTCTTTATATGGAATGGAGCTCTCTGTTAGGCAGACAACATGGGAGGCAAAACAACAACATTCAGAAGGCATCAAGTCATTTCTTTGACTTTATTCCATTTGAAAAGAGAGAGACATGCCAAATCCTGGTTCTGCAGTCAGAAACTTAATAGGAGCAAGAATGAGGCAAAAGAGATAGCACGTGCCTCTGTAGACCACCAGTATGGTTCATCCACAGATAACTAAGAATTAGCTGCTACTAAATACAATGAGGACAATAAGCTGCTGTGCTTGTATTATCTCACCTTGATGACTTCAAGGCCTGTTTCATTAAAAAAAAAAAAAAAAAAATGAAGTCCACCATGTAAAAAAGTTAATTTTCTTTCCTCCACAGTATCTGCTGTCCTGCTCAATTAAATCCTCACCCCACCCCCCCCAAAATGCCATGCAGCACAGGGATGGCTGCAAGATGGAAGAAGGGGCAGGAGAAGCAGCAAGACAAGATGGGGCCAGACCTAGGAACGTAGAGCAGGCACTTTGCTTCTTATCTCGGAAGGCTTCGCCTGCCTCATTCCAGGGCAGCCAGTTCCTCTAAGAGCTCTTCTTTCTCCCGCTGTAGTTCGTGCATCCGCTGTTTGTTTTGCTCCAAACGGTCCTCCAGCCACTGCAGCAGGGGCCCGCTGATGGCAGACATCTGGCTGCAGAGGTTCTTCGTGAAGACTGGCAAGAAAAGGAGGAGGCCACTATGAGTGTGCAGGAGGAGTCCAAAGATACCTCGAGAAAATTGTACGGAAAGGGCTGATGACGTTTCAGCCCCATACAATCTGGGTAACGCCACCTCTCAACCCCAGAAATATTAAATACGCTCCTTCCCACTAGTACAGTTAAAACATCATGTTGATGGATGTTTAAAGACCCTGAAGCCCAATACCATCTTTTTGATCCCTGAGCCATAAGCAGCACCCCAGATTCTGGATTCTGGAAAGACGTACCTGAGCCATTGTGAATCTTGGTTATAGAATCCAGATGAGTGAGGCTAAACAAGGCAAAAGAAGATACACCTGTATCACTGAAACACTCATACCAATCCTCAAAAATCACAGCTATGTTTTTGGCCTAATTAGAAGGGACTCCTATTGGTGTGTACATGTGTGTGTGGGTGTGACAGAGAGAGAGGAAATGAAACAGATAAAAGGAGCCCAAAGTCTTTCTCATGGTCTTCCCTACCTTCTTGCCTAGTTACTGAATTGCTTGACATTGCTCCCCAACTCACTGTTACGCTGTTATCACAGTGACTACAGTAAGCAATCTGGCTTCCAACCAGGATCATAATATAATCCAGACTGGTTTTCAAAGGCTTCACTCACCAAGTCACCATAGGAGCCCTGCTAGATTAACCAAAGCAAGATGCATCTAACCAAGCATCTTCTTCCCCGCTGAGCAACCAAACGTACAGAGAAGCCCATCCTTTCACACCTGCTCCTTAGCAACTGGTACTTGGTCACTAAGGTAACGGCTCTCTACCTAGAAGTTTGATTTAAATATCAAAAGCCCCTATTCTGTAGGTCAGTGTTTCTATCTATCTATGTCTGTCTGTCTGTCTATCTATCTACTATGAATTTTGATTATAATAGTAAAATCTAATACAAACTAAACTTAAAGAGAGAATAGAAAGAGAAAAATAGGAATATAATAAAGAAAAAGAAATATATAAAGCGACTTTCAATGTTCATCAAAAAAATAAACTTGTTTTAACCTTCATCAAATAAACCAGCTTTATATTCCTTCATTTTACTTCTAACAGTCTTAATCTTCAGTTCATTCAAATATTGTTGTAGGGTTTGATTTCTCTTCATTTCTTCTTGGTCCCATCACACAGTTCTTCAAGACTTTAACAAGCCTCTTTTGTAAATCCAGTAGGAAAAAAATTATCCAGATGACTCTCTTGATTTGTCATTTGTATTTCCCTTTCAAATTTTAAAGCCTCAGCCAGTTTCTTTTGTAGATCCAGTGAAACATCCTTTTCTAAGTCATTCTCTTGGCCTGTCAGTTGTAAATTCACTTTCGATACCATCTCTATCTTGTCAGCTAAAATTTGTTCTACATCTATCATTTATTCAATAACATCTTTTGAACATAGCCTATCCATAGATGCAGACATCATTACTGACATTGTTGATATTGTGGCTAGTATTTTCTGATTCCGTCCTTCAAAGGTCTCCTTCAGTATTTTCACTGTTAAAACATTTTGCAGCACTTTGCAGGCTTGTAAATCTTTACCTAAAAACCTTAGTCCCCTCTAGTGTCTGGTTTTTGAAATCATGAAATTGCTTAGGTTTGTTTTGTCTTGTAAAAACCAAAACAGAATCTGTTTCCCACGAAAGCTGTTTGTTCTTTATAATTAATTCCAAAATCTTAAAATCTTCCAAAATGTAAAAGTTTCCATATTCCAATTTTATCTGGATCCTTAGTCTGTTTATAACTTTATAAGTCCAAATCCTTATTTAGCTTTTTGCTTTTTATTTCAGATTCTTTAAATTCTTAAGCTTACGATTAAAATTTTCTTTCATTCAGGATTGAAGGCAGACTCACCTGGTGTCTTCCACCTTGTTGGTCTGAAGGTCCCTAATAGCTTAGAAGTAATTAATGAGCAATTTCCAAAAGTAACTGAAGGTGAGGTTTGCAAACTTAGTGCCCTTTAAAAGTCTCTGCAGTGGTTGCGAGCAAGATGACTAATCCCACCATCTCCTGGCCGTTCAACCCACAGAAAACTGTTGTCCTGTGGTCTCCTCGTGAGAAGCAGCTGTCCAGAGCACACGTGGGCAATCCTCATCTCTCTTTAGCCAGAAAGGTTCCAAGGAACCAGCCTACTCACTAGTTCCTTGGTCTTTGCCGTGGTTGTTGGCTCCACATTCGCAGAGCCATCTTCAGTTTGCCATACCTCTCCTGGAAGTCCCTCTGTAGGCCAGTATTTCTCAGCAACTTTAGGATGTGTGGATTTCACCTCCCAGAAGTGCTGGCTAGGGAATTCTGAGAGCTGAAGTCCACACATTTTAAAGTTGCTAAGGTTGAGAAACACTGCTGTAGGCAATCCGTATTAAATACAGTGGACTGCAAAGCCCCCTTCAGGCATTCCAAAGCAAGCATGAGGACTAAAGGAAACAGGGTGACAAGGATACCCTGTGGGTGTATGTCCTTCTTGTGCATCCCACTCCTTCCTAGCAGTCAGGCAGGAGAGCTGTACTCACGTTCCAGTGAATGTAAGTGTGGTGTCTGGAATACACGTACTCCATTGCAGGGGAGCCAGCCAAATGAAGGGTGGGATGTGCATGCAAGAGAGAAAAGAATAGTGCTCATGGTCCCATCACCCTATGCATTTTAGCCCTCATGTTTTCTTTGCAATGCCTGAAATGGGCTCAGAGATAACCTGAAAGACTACCAATGGCAAACTGATCACCCTACTACAGGGGCAAGCAATGTTTCCTGGGTGGGGGTAGCAACTCAGGGTCCTAACTGCCTGGCAGTCCAGAGGGAGCTTTCCAATGTTGTTGTTTACCTGATGGGCGAAAGCTGAGGCTGGGTATGGTGGCTTTTCACCTCTCAGGGCCCTTGCACATCCATTTCCACCTTTATTTTGATGTGTCTGTGCCCACATCTGCTATCTAAAGTTGGCAATGGAATCTCTGATGCTTTGGGAGGTGTGCAGGGGATATTAGAAGGCTGCATGCAGACCATCCACCCCACCCATATGATTTAAAAAGGAAAGAGGAAAAGGAAGCTGTTACCTGTGGATTTTTCTGTATGCATCCTGCTCTTCTTGACACAAGATTTTTGGCAGTTCCACAGCTGACTCGAGGCACACTTTCCCAATGGTATTGTGAGGAACAACATGGATAGGAATTTCAATCCTTTCGTACCTATAAAAGGAAACATGTACATATCATCAACCTAATTCTTGCAATTCTATCCATGGTGGCTAGAAAACAAATTTTATCATGTTCGATAAGACTTAATTTAGTGTCACTGTATCTAGGGTGCTACGGTTAGATGTCCTGTATGATATTTATTTATTTGTCAGTTTGTCCCACCTTTTGTTCATTTTTCCCCCCATAAAAAGAACTCTCTGAGATACGTTGGCCTAAAAGAGATTAACTAACCGACACAGCCCAATGAGCTTCTGTGGCTGAGGATGGACTTGGGTTTCCCTGGTCCTAGTCCAACACCTTAACCACTAAACCACATACCTCAACTGAATTTAATTAAATTTAAGGTTTTCTAAGCACTTGTATATAAAACAAAAATAATTCTTTTATCTTGCAGTTTGAGTACTGCTGCACTGCTTAAAGTTGTACTCTTAAAACACAATTTAGAAAAAAAGTATTTTATATGTATAGATTTGATATACTCTCCCAAAGCATCACTTAACCATTTGTGTACCTGTCTTTTCATATTTGATGGTACCGAAAGGACTGACAATTCATAGAGCGGGATAGAGACCCAGATGGAAGTGGTGTGCTACTTCGGCGCACACATTGCCTATGTGAATGTACAGGCTTGTGTGCTTGTGTGCAGATTTTTTTTCAGTGCTGAACATTTCCCACACCATGTTTATTAATCATGGTTAGCAGGAACGTGAGTGCACAGCATGTTCATGATTATCCCACTGATAGTTACACCACTTATTGAAATAAGCAAGCAAAAAGCTGGGCCCTCAATCTGCTCAGCTAAGAGAATAACATGCTGCCCCTTCTTTTACTGAACTAACATGTTCTTACAAGATTTTTATAAATATGGCCTGTTTCTGACTTTGCATTTTCCCCCTGTTCTCTTCCCCCACTTTCTTGATTCTTTTCGTATTTGATCTCTTAGAGCAAAAGTGCAAAGCGTAAAGCCTCTGACCCACTATGCCCTCTTTTCATCCCAGCTTTCGGCTCTCTTGCTGCCCACTTATGGCTACATGTCTCATCTGTTGTCCACATTTATTTTGCTGTTTTTATCTCTCTATCTGCCTTACTTTCTCCCTCAACCCTCTCCCAGATCCTCCCACTCCATCCCATCTTCTCTAAACAATTCAAATAAAAACAGAAAAGGTACACCAATGTGCCCTCCTGTTTCTGCCCCTGCTTCAAGGCAATACATGGTCCTACAGAAGTCCTTTTCAGCCAAAGGCAGGCAATTTAAACAGCTCTTAAAGTCAATAAAGTATACCTATTCCATGTAGCATGTGAGTATGCAGTAGACCATTTTATTACTATGTTATGTAATGCAGCAGGAAGCCTGGCTTCATAATATAAAATACAAAGCAAAACAGCTGCCACAGAGTATTAGCAGACTTGGATAAGGCAATCAGTAACTGGAAAAGTAGGGTATTGTAAAGAAAGTCTTTTAAGTGATGACTATGAGTTTCTTTTCTCACCACATAGTTGACTATAGAGGTAACACAATTACATGCACTGAATAATTACTAAAACTGAAATTAGTAGAAAATGGAGATAGAGGTTTAAGTTTGCTGAACTGATGTTCAACAAAATCCTTACTCTGAGCTCTTCTGGGCTTGAATGGACTGGAAACAGGTATACAAGACCCGGCCTGTCTGTGTCAAATAAAAGATAAAAGTTGACAGTATGAAGCATGTTAGTGACTCCCTCCACACACACCCTCCCCCATATATGCACGATGTAGCTTCTTACTTCAAATCCACCCAATCCAGTTTTCCACTACTGACAAAGAAAAGCTCTTTTTCTGGGGGGGGGGGGGG